AAGAGAGAGAGAGAGAGAGAGAGAGAGAGAGAAATTGGTAATTAGGAGGTCAATTCTATGACTGAGGTAGTGGGTATTAAAGAGAAACAAAATAGCAAGACTGCTTCTAGGGTTAAAGTTTTCTAAGAGCAAACATGAAACAAACAAGGCGTCTGCCCTTATTAGCCAAGAAATATCACACTAGAATGCTTTCAGCTCAGTATTCCCATCCACTGTACTCCCGACACTGGAGCACCATAGAAACAGATAGAATTCCCACAGGTAAAGGATCCTTTCCAGTAGCTCTGCCAGGGGACATATAAGTCTTCAGCCAACTGGGGAAACCCTCTGAAAACTTGAGAGATGCATAAATTTATATAAAGTGATGTTTATAAGCAACAAGCTATTTCCTCTTAGCACTAACATGGGGAAATTTCCATACTGGTATATGGTTATGTGAAAAGCAGAGAATCTTTTCCTATGACAATGAACTTTTCTTTCTAAATTGTGTATTTTCTTTTTTACTGATTCTATTGCCTTTCTCTTTATTCAGCCCTCATATGCAGATACTAAGGAAAAGAGTACCTGGGTCTAGTTGACAACTAAGAGAGACAAGTAGTTTGTGCCCTCACCCCTGGAATACTGAATACAATGATTACACACACACATAAACTGCAACACTAAGTTCCTGAGGACCGGGAAAGGCATTTAGATCTTTGGGTTTCATTTGCTTCTGTTAAAAAGTATCTGTACTTTTGCACTTCAACATCTGGCAGAGCATTGTGATGACCACACACAAACACTGGGAATAATGGATGAGTGACTAAACGTAACAAAACATTTAAACAGATTTTTGAGTCAAAAACAGTAGGCAAAACAAAGAAGCAAGCCAAAACAGACAATATTGTCTTTTCAGAAGGTAACACTATTTTATCCATATTCCATTCCTAGGAAGGGCATTCTTGCACTACACTCTTTCATGCTCTGGATAAAGGCAAAATGGACAGATGCCCAAGCGCCACCCTCATCGCCTGAAACCTAGGCAGAAAGAAGTCTCCTCTCCTGGAGGTTGAGCAGACGTCATCAAAATCATCCACAGGTGTACACATTACAAAGCCTCATTACAAAGTCCACATTACAAAGCCTCATCAAACCCTCAGTGAATATCTTTATCTCAGACAGTAGATGGGATTCATTTACCCAAAGGAAGGCGAAATCACATGGCTGGACACAGCATCTTGCCATTCTGCTGAACTCACTCAGAAGCTGGCTCAACACAGCCGCCTCTGATAAACTTACGGTTCTCCATCCCTCCGGGGATGACCACTCCTCCTCCCTTCTCAGGCCCCGACGCCCGCTCCGCAGCTAATCTGACATCTTTTCATACTTTGGAAGCCTCAGGCTCCACCACACCCTACCCCAACCAGATTTCTACTCCCCTACGGACAACAAACGTCCATGAGTTGACAGATCAACGCTTAGGGCCTAACTGATCCTACTCCCCTCCACCCTCAGAAACCCAAATGTTCTCACAAATCTCAGATTCTGATGAACCCACTCCTTTCGCTCGGCTCGTCTGGCCCTCGCGTCGGCCCCTCGGCTTCCATGGTCTCCAGTCCCCGCTTCGGGGGTCTCTGCCCGAGCTCGCACAACCTGATTTCTCCCCGGCCGGTAGGACCCTCGGAGGCGGGGAGGAGGCCTCAGACCCCAAGCGACCTCCGGGATCGAAACTCGAAGGGGCCCGGCGTCCCCCTCGACCCCCACTCTTCCACGAGCCCACGTCCCAAAGGTCTCCACCCAGGCTCCACGACCCGCCGGCCGCGCTGCGAGCATCACCCGGCGCGCCAGGCTCCCCCGGCCCCAGCTTCCGGGCCCCCCTTCAGTTCTGCTTCCGGTCCCCGGGCGCCCCCGGCCCGCGCCCGGCCCTCGGCGCCGCTCGCTCGCCCGCTCGCCCGCTCGCGTGCTCTCACCGCTCGAAGAGCAGCCTCACGGAGAAGATGCCCGCGGCCAGCGGGAACACCGAGAGGATGTGCTGGGCGCGCGGGTAGCCGTAGCCGTCGCTCGGCCCCTCCAGGTCGGCCCAGCTCACGTTCTGCGGCAGCCAGAAGCGCTCGCTCCACAGCCAGCCCCACAGCAAGCCCAGGGCTCCGGCCGCCGATGTCGCCATCTTACGCCCGCCCCGCAGCCACGGCCGCCGCAGCCCAGGCTGCCGCCACAACCAACGGAACCCGCGGGGAGGCGGCCCCGAGGCGGGGCCCGGCCGGCGGCCACCCCCTTCCGGCCTCTTGGCATCCCCCTGCGCGGATCCGCCCGCCTTCCCCGAGGGCAGGGCCTCCTCGCGGCGCGTCTCGCCTCCTCGCCCACTTCCTCATCGTCGCCTCCAATACCGTCTCTCTGTGGGCCCAGCCCTCC